TCCTGCTGGGTTCTCATTAGCTTCAAGGAGGAATTTTTCAGTGGAAATCTTTTGTCTGGAAAATGCCTGCCCATTGTAATGGAAACCATTCATAGGAAGAGGTTTGTTTGGACAAATTTTCTGTTAAGTGTTTCTGGGGGAGGAAAAAGAGGTTGGAAATGTTCCAAACCCTCCCGCTTCAGTGATTTCAAAATAACAGTATTTGGACCTTCCTTTACAAATAACTGTGAGAGCTTAGAGGTTTAAATTAAGAAATAATAAATTCATTAATACATTAATGAACTTGAACAAAGTAAATGAAAAAAAAAACCCAGCCTGTGTGGAAACAGGCAGGTAGTAGTTTCCAGCCAAAGCAAATTCTGTCTCTCCTGCAAGGTTACTTCTACCTCCTCAGGTGCAGGGCGAGCTCTGAGCTCCTCTGTCTTGGTCAAGAGCCTCTCGTTGCCCTCCCCAGCTGCCAATGTGCTGGGGAACCTGCAGCACCGCTGCCCCCGCCTCTGCCCCTGTCGCTACGCCTGCTGCCTTGCCTAACGCAGAGGCCTCTCCCCTCTCACCACCGAGTGACTTCGCTAGAAAAGTAAAAATAAAATTAAAAAGCTATTTCAAAAATGTTGGATCAGTGCCAAAAAACCTGAGGCAGCGTACGTGGCAGTGGTGAAGGCCGGTTGTCTTGCTCGATAGGTGCAACTGCGGCGTCGCCTGATGCACAGCGAGCATCGGCCGTGCCGTCATCCCCCTCCGTGGGCAACGGGCCGGCACTACACACACCCAGTGGGAATGGTCCCTGCTCTGCAGTTTTACACAGGGTGCAGACGATGTCCCTGCTCTGTAGTTTTACGCAGAGCGCAGATGACGAGGTGACATGCTCAGGACCGAAGGACAGGGTGCCATCCCTCCCACATCATGCCGCAGCAGCAGGGGCCCATCCAGGAGGTGAATCTCTGGGGGAGGGCAGCTGGCGGCCCCACACTGGGCAGAGGCTGGAGCTCGGCAGGATGCATCTGGGGCAGAGAAGGTGCCTGACAACCTCCCTGGAATTCCTGTCCCGTGCAAACCAAACCAAGTTGTTTTAAGAGAAAAATAGCATTGTGGCCAGGCGTTAAGGAGCGTCGTAGTATGGCCAAGGGGCCTCAAAACCTCCAGTCTGATACCAGGCACCATTCTCCCAACTGTTAGAGCCAGCAGCATCGCCCCTAATGAAGAGAGTTTTCCAATCCACATGTTCTTCCTTCTCTGACTTACACAGCTACTAACTGAATTGGTTTCTACGTTCTCTGCTTTTTAAAATTCCTGTTACTACCAGCAGAGTGGCTACAACCCATAGGCAACTGCTGTGGTTTAACGATAAAGACTTTGGACTGGAGACAAATTATTATTAGGTGGTTGTCTATGAGGAGCAGCGATGATGCTGCGGTATCCATTCCTTTGACTGCTTTCCAGCTCCGACCTATGCTAGCTGTCAGCAACGCGAAAAGTGCCTGACGAAGCAGGAAAAAACAACCTGTCGCCCCTCAGAGCAGGAAACCAGTTCCTGCATCCCAGACTGCGACTCACGTGGGAAAGAGAAGTTAAAGCAGAACTATCACAGAGAGCAGAATTATTACAACGAGGATAAGGCATAGAATCATTTAGGTTGGAAAAGACCTTTAGGATCATCGAGTCCACCCGTACACCTAACACTGCCAAGCCCACACTAAACCATGGTCTGCATGAGTCTCACACATGTTCTTTGTGTTTGCATCGACGAGAGGAAAAATTAAAATCAGCCAAGGAAAAAAATACCTTTGAGGAAAATAATGTTCTGTACATTAAAATGTTCTAGTTTTATGGTTATTTGACAAAAGTCACTTACTACAAAACGCCTCGGCATCTCAACCCTCAGCAGCAACTCTCCTTTTGTTAATCAGGAAACAGGTTCATTTATTCCAGCGCTGTCAAATAAACCTCGGAAACCTGGTACAGCCGCATTTTTCCCAGCAAACTGACTCCTGCCACTCGAGTTTAACAGCTGAGCTTTCCGATGGCAACTACCCCATGTTCCGACATCTGGCTGGTTCCCGTTGGTGCTCCCTGTGAAGCTGGTCTCCCCAGATCCCCCACCCAGCACCACTCGGCCCTCCCCGGCTGTGAGCGGAGCATCTCACCTCGGAGCAGCACGCAGCCGAACAGCCAGAGGAGCGGATGGATGGACGGAGCCAGCATCGTCGCGGTGGCTAGTGGCTCTACAGCCCTGCTGAGGCTCTGTCCATCCCTGGAGGGACGGGAGGGTGAGGAGCGATTTGCCTGCCTGGGCTGACTCTCACAGAGCTTCCTGTTGAAGAATAGAAGGAAACGGGCTGAATCCACAGGGGAACTGTGGTTTTTAGCCCATTATGGTCGGAGAGGATGTGAGACATCGCTTACCGACGGCAAAGGAAACCTTGCCATCGGGCTGTTGGGGAATTCAGCTCTCGTACTGGGGGAGAGCCTGCCCTGCTTTGGGCCTCAGTAGCTTCTTTACGGTGCTTGGGTTGTTTTTGGAAGATGCTTGCTTTGTGGTGAGGATGTGCACCCAGGTCCAATCTGCTCCCCATCAGCTGTGAGGGCTGCAGGCTGCATTGGTCCTTCCGGGGTGAGGAGCTGCTGGGGGAGCCACTCCTCCCCTCCCACCTGAGAGAGGATTTCTTAACATCTCTGGGAGGGATTTGGAAATATTTGCTTCTCATGGGAACAAGGTAATGCAGAAGCTGGTGCTGCCCCAAGCCCCATGTGTCTCTGTGCAGCTCCAGCAAGTCTGGGCTCCATGATGGTTTTGGGATGCCATTTTACAGGTAGCAGCAGCATCCTACCCCACAGGACACACAGCCCACGCAGGCTCTGACTGACCCAAACTCACGTTGGTTGACAGAGGGAGGAACTGGAAAATTGGGCCAGTCCCATCCCGCATCGAGCCCAAGGGGTTCAGTTTCTCATCCTCGTGAGGTACTTGTCTGTGTAGGAATGGGTGTTTGGGGCGAAAGGAAGAGTCTTAGTGTCCCCATGTGGGAAAGACTCCCACGTCCGCCTGTCTCAGAGGGTCTGTGCAGGCGTTCAGGATGCAAATCCACACAATTGTGTCATTGCCACAGTTCTGTCTCTGGGAGCCGGGCCTGATCCACATGCTGGACATGGAGCTGGGGACGCTGTAACACCGTGCTGGGGTGATGTGCACTTGTGGGAGCTCACCGAGGCACCAAAGGAAAGCTTGTGGTCCAGCCCAGCCTCTTGACACCAGCCCTTACCTGTCTCCTGGCTCGAGGGGCCAGCCCCTTCCCGCAGCCCCCCAAGCTGCAGAGCCTCGGCCGAGGGCAGCGGAGCTGCTCCTTCCCTGCATGGGGCGCATCAAGGGGTGTCTTCTGCTGCAGCAGGGCCCTTGGCTTCCCACAGCCAGGAGACGGCAGCAGGAACGGAGGGAGAGATCTCCTGTGCACTGTACCGCTCCTTGCGTTTCAGCGGGTCTCTTGAACACCCCCAAACCCCCAGGCACAGCATCAGGCCGAAAGCAGGCAGCCTCCCACAGCAGCCCTTGCTTTTACAAACCCTCTGTTAGCAGCCTCCCCCATCGTTTCTCCTCTCTTGCACAGATGTGATGCTCAGAGATTACGCTGTAGATTAAGGTTTTACTGAATCCTGAAATGAGTGCAAATTCCCAGAAGCTCTAATGTGTGGCCAAATCTGCTGGACATTCGGCTGGATGGGGGAAGAGGCATTTCCCATCCCGTCCTCCCCATGTGCAGGAAAGACGGAGCCCAGCTATTCACCCCAGCTTGACCTCTGAGAGCCTCCAGGTAAGAGCAGTGTAGTTTTGGGACGGAAAGATGGAGAGACATGCTTTGGAATGGCTAAAGCTCCAGAGGATCCGTCTTTTCTGCTCTGAGCTGTGTTCAGGGTCACCCTGGGTGGCAGAGGGTCTGACCCCACGGCACCCCTGGTCTGGGTGTTTACTTGCCTGTGTGTGAGGGTAATGCTGCCAGACTCGAGGGCATCCCTGCAGCCTTGCTGACACGGTCACCGTGCGAGGGGAGATGTGTGCCAGCACTGACCTGTCGCTGGCTCCTGCCTGTGACCCTGAGCGTGTCCCAGGGTCTGGAGCTTTGCCGTGGACTCACACCGCTGCTGACGAATGGTCCTTCTGCAGCAGTAGGACTCCCGGCACAGAAAATCAACCCCAGGGGCTGCAGCATCTCCGGGGAGAGGGTCCTTCCCTCCCGGAGCATTGTGTGGATACATGTTGAAAAGGGTGGCTTTTTTACACCGGTTTGTTAACGGCATTAAATTTTAACGCCAGGTCGGTGGAAGGAGGGAGGTTTCCTGCAGTTAAGCGGCTGGGGGTTGTGTCTGCAGCTGAAGGGTGCCTTCTCCCCGAACAAAAGGGCGCTTGTCTGGCGGCGGGTGAGAGGAGGGTTTTTTCCGGTGAGGGTGCGTGACAGTGAGGGAGGGGGCGGTGGCGCTGATGTGGCACCCGGCAAGGTAAGGGAGCACCTTTCCTGCCCACGGGATGAGCAGGCGCTTCCTCCTCTGCCCCGGGGAACCCCGGGGGAGTGTGGGGTGAGGCGTGACGTGGCAGCCTCCGAGGTGAGTCTGGCTGCGCCTGCACCAGAGAACCGTCTGGGAGGTACTTCTGCTGGTCACACTGTCCGCTTCCCAGCCTCGCCGCTGGAGACGATGATCCCCGTGCTGCAGGAACGCCAAGGTACCCCCACGGGGCTAGGGAGGGCTCTCCCCCTACTGCCCCCTTCTCCCACCCGTGCTGGCTCCCTGGGTTTTGCGGCTGGGGGGGGGGGTGGCTCGCAGGGTGGTTTTTGGGGGTGTGGGTCTCCCCCAACGGGCGGTCCCCGTGGGGTTTGTCTTGGATGAGCACCGTGGGGCAGGGGACGAAGAGGGGAGGGTGGAGGGCTCCCCACCAGGGAGCAAGGTGTAGCTGGGAGCCCCATGCTGACTGTGTCTGGGACATGGGGACACAGGGCATTGCCTCCCCAGCTGAATGTGACCCAGGCACTGTCCTACAACCCTGGGTATAACCACCAAAATTCATCCTGTCCCGCGAGCCTGAGGGAGGGAGCACTTAGGGAACCAGCCCGTTTCCCTGGCAGCTGCAAGTGCAGGCAGGAGCTGTTGACTTGAGGGCAGGAGACAGGCATATCGGATGGCCTCTGCTCGGTGGTCACCCCTTTCCATCCCGTGTTACTCTGTCGCAGGTCAGCCTGCTCAGCCATGAACATCTCCGCGCCCGGCAGCCAGCTGAGACAGCCCGAGGCCCAGGACGCAGCCGCCTTCACTCCCATCTCCGTTGTCAGGAGCATGACGAAGAAATCCGACGCCCTGCCCATGATCTCTGCGATCGTCGTCATCTTCGTCCTCTTGGCCGTCTTCATCATCATCATGGTGCACTATGGCCCTCAGCTCCGCACTGTCCAGATCACCCTTTACCACGAGCCCATGCCGCAGGACCTGGACAACGGGGTGCACCTCATGGACTGGAAGAAGCTGGGTTCCCAGAAGAAGCCGCCTGCCCAACCCTGCCAGGGAGAGCTGGCCAGTGGGGACGCATCCGGCATGAGCTGCCAGTGCTCCTGCAAGCACCACCTTCCCTGTGGGAGCGCTGAGCCCAGGGTCATCGAGATCACCTACCTGTGACAAGGCTGCGGGCCACCCGGGCAGGACTCAAGGGACCATGGCCCGCTGGAAAAATAGCAACTGGGATGTTAGCTTAGCCCGAGCCTCACCGGTTCCACAGGTGGAAGTTTCAGCTCCCCAGGGTGGTGTCTCTCCCCAGGTAGGCTCACATAGAAGGTCGTGTCACTGCACTGGCCCATCACCGGCCCCCAGAAGTCCAGCCCAGAGCGACCACTGTCCTCAAGGAAGGTCTGTGTCCCCAGCCCAGGCTCCGGGGCGGGGTTAGCCTATGTGGGACAGTGTTAGCATCTCTTCTGGTTTTTCTCGCCCTGGTGTTACCTGGCCCACGCTGTCTGGGAGTGCCCAGGAGAGCTGTCTTGGTCCTTGCCCCAGCCCAGGATCTCTGGGATTATGCTCGGCCCCTTGGCAGGAGCTGGAAGTTACATCACCCGGAATTTCTTTACAGATTAAAGATGTTTCCACATGCACAGTGCCCACGTTATGCCATCTATATGTCATGGAAAAGCCTCCAGCCCTTCTTTTCCTCCATGCCACAGCCCCTTTTCCTCTATTGGAGGGCTGAAACTCTGTCCTCCCTCCTGCCAGCCCCGGCAGCGGGCTGAGCCCGTGGTGGCGAACAGCCGGAGGAGAGGAGGCAGCACCTGAACCCGCGTCATCGGTGTTTCAGCGGTGGAGCCAGCAGCAGGGGACAATGTGTCTGGTCCCACAGTGGAGAGGGTGAGAGGTGGCAGGGCAGGGGTGGGAGCGGTGATAATGGCACATCAGCCACCCCTTGCAGGTGGCTGAACACCTCAAGGTGTTGGCACCGCTGGAAAAAGGCGTGTATCTCTGGGCAGAGCCTGCAGCAGCGATGGGGAGTCCTAAGGTCATCTGCATTGTGCCCATCACTGCCTGCTGTCCCTGTGCAGAGGGAAGCTCTGCCTGGGGGCCTGGGGACGTGGGTGATTTCAGTGTGCAAAGCAGCAAGGCACATCCTAGATGAGGAGGGAGCGATGGTTGGGTCAGCATCCCACTGTGATGGATGTTGATGTGGCTCGGTCACCTGGGCAGAAGCTCGATGAGGTGGCACAGAGGGAGCAGTGGAGGGGTGAAATGTCATCCTGAGCCCCATAAGGCTCCTGGGGTAGCATGCCATGGTGACCTGCTCAGCCCTGGGAGTCCTGCTGCTGCCAGAGGTGCTGGGCAACTCTTTGGAGAAGAAATTGGTCTTTGTGATCCTCCCTCGGAGTAAGCTGGACATCAAAGCCTGTCTTCAGTGTGTGGACTCGGAGGACAGTCCCTGGAGAGGGAGCACAGCCTCTGCAATCACCCTCCAGGGTTTATTCTGCTGAATAGCCCCAGAAGTCAGAATACGGTTCCCACCTCTCCCCTCCTCGCACCCAAACAGAAAAGACAAATCCGTGTCCATCCTAAGCTGCATCCCTGGCGTAGATCCCTCTGTGCACTGCTGGACAAGAAACAGGGTCTTTTACCTGTTCCTCCAACTGCTGGAGGTATTTCTGGCATGGCAGATGCTCCAGTGTCCTTCTCCTCACTTACTTTAAAGC